GGAGGCTAAGTAGGAAGCCTTTATGTTCTTTATATAGTGGTTGCCTTAAAATTAGGGTTTTCAGGATTCTGAGAGTACGCTGGGCGTACCTCTAGTACACTGGGCGTACTCGACCATGCACCCGTGTTCATTTAGCCAATTACGTTGGGCGTAACCCAGCCTACGTTGGGCGTACCCAGTGTGTCCCTATTTTCTTCACTTGGTCTTCCCTTTCCACTTTTCCCTTAAAGAGCTACAATCGATATTATCTTCGAAATGTCGTAACTCCTCTACTCTAAACCCGCTCCCGATAAACTTTACATTCACACGAGGGTGGCGAGAAGCCTTATGCTTCTATCAACACACACACCAATCCAAACCTTCTCGGATAAAACCCATTTCCCGTAAAAGGACCAAAATTACCCTTCCTCTTAAACCTCAGGGACTCATAATTAGATACTTTAAGAACGGGGCGTTACACATCCTGTCTAGTTGTCAGTGTGAAGGCAACCCAAAAGGACCATGATACTATCAAATTAAGTACATATCAATTATAGGTATAGGCTTAGATACCTAATCCAACAAATTATTATCTGTAAAAATCTTGTATTCAAATATTAAGATGGAACACGAATGCTATTTTTTTTATTGTTGTGCATGAGCTATATATTCATTTTAAATGTAATCCATGAACTTAGTCGCACAACCCGGCGTGTTGCGCCGCTTCGGCTGGGGTGTAACATATATGCATATAATGTGTGGGTTGTATAAGGAATTGAAAATTGTTTCCCAATAATCTGTTTTTTCTCATTTTTACCATTTAGCTAAGATTTCAGGTGCATGCAAAATTACTAAGGGTAAAGAGAAGGTTTAGCTCCTTAGTTGACAAGATTGTGAATTTTTAAATATAACTTTTGAATTTGGAATCAAAGTTGGAGCATATAGGATCACATTGAATCATTCTCACATAAGATGGAACACTCTGACATAAAAGTAAGCCTGGTTTGGCAAAGGTGCTCATGGTAATGCAAAGATGCTCTCTTGGTCTAAAGGTTCTCCTGGTTGTACATATATGCTGTCTTTGTGCAATGGTGCTCCTCGATGTACAAAAATGTGTTCTGTTGTTCTAAAGGTACTCATGGTTGTAAAAAATTTCTACTTGGTTCTAAAGGTGATCTTGGTAAGAAGGTGCTTCTACCATGGTGATGGCGTCATAGGTGTATGGTTGGTGGTCGTGCACATCTCTCAAGGGTGAAGGTTCTAGAAGCATATGCATGACGACATATGATTGGTTGATACCTTTATTGACCTATGGACTAATGGGGTTGGCTCATTAGGGTTTTAAGTTGGATCCATAGTCTATAAATAGGGATGTATGCTAGTCCCTCATTTGGTATCTTTGAGTATCTTGAATTCTAGTGAGTAGGATGGATCTCTGTTGAATTGTACTTGCAATCTTTGTTTGAGAACTTCGGAATAAGAATACTCCCTATTGTCTGTTGACACACATGTCACCTTAATTGAAATACGTAAATACTTTGTCCTTATATATATATATATATATGTGTGTGTGTGTGTGTGTGTGGTTTAGTGAGTTATCCACTTTACTTCCTAATAAATGGTATCAGAGCTTGGGAAGTGTCATCAGATCTATTCTGATTCTTGACAAGGAACGTCTAATTCATTACATGAATGAATGACATCTTTAAAGATCGTTTGAATGTAAGGGTTGTAGTAATACCCAACTTATTCTTTGTAAATATGTATTTTATTGGGTTGACATGTGATGCTATATACTTGTCAGTCATTTTAGATTACAAAAGTATATCATCTAGAAAAATGTAGTTATAATTTTTAGGTGCACCTTTATATTTAAAAGCGAGGTTTTAGATTTGCAGTGGTCCCAAAACCCAAATAAATTCTCTAAGGACCAATAAAATAGGAAAAAATAGACAAAAGTAAGCAACATGTTGTTTTAGAGCTGATGTGTTAGGATTGAACGCAGTCATCATGAATTGTTGGCTGAAGTCATTTTGAAGCTGACAAAGCCAACCACAATTGCATTGAGACTAACCATCATTGGAACCGGCTATAACTATTCAATTATTCTGTAACTTCTAGAAAATTGCTATTTTCGTCATGCTTGTCCATTTACGAGTACTGTAGTATATATACACGAAGCATACAAACTATTTTGGGCTCTGCCAAGATCTTGAAAATCCTATACATGTATTTAGTATTTGATTCCTATTCTTAGGGTTAAGATTTGAAGTGCTTTCTTGTGGATTATTTTGCATATGATTTTGGGACACCCATAGCTAGTCCTGAAATATAGATCAAGTTAAGTGACTTTACACGATCCACAATGATATCCAAGAATTTTGGTTATAATTACACTATACTTCTCTTTATTTTCTAACGTTTTTTTCATCGTAATTCCGTCCCATAGTAACTATATCTTGACTGATATAATTTAATTTCGTGTAGAGTAAATTAAGTTGCATTCTCTCATTAATCACAAGTCCTCTATTTCTATATGAAATTCTGGTTGAGTTTGATGAGGATAGGGAATGTATCACAATCCTATTCCTTTTCCAAGATCTCGACAAACAAATAACTCAGAAGTGATCAATAAACATGAAGGAACACCACAAACAACTCATGAAATACAAGGAACAAATCCAAGACATGATACCCTTGAAGCAATCATGGACCGAGTATATTCGAAAGTTAAAGCCCAAAGAACAAGAATAAGCTAAAAGAACCCGAGGACATAAATGACCCAAACAAAGCACACCATACCACATAGCACGAAACTGTTAAAGTTCAAAACGATATAGACCAGCACGCGACCATGAATGAGACCCTCTTGAAATGGAAAAGCAAAAGGGTGAAAAATCAATTATGGCGAATAAATGATTTTGTTACAAGATTACTTCCAATTTTAGACCATTTTCAACCCACATCTACGTGTGTCTCCTCGATGATACATCCTCTTGCCTATTACAATAAGAAAACTAAATCTTCGAATAAAGAGGGATGTGGAGTGGCAGACATCAAATCAATGTTATTCCTCGCGATGATGAGGTGGCGAAGGACGTTGGGTGCGACCATCTCCAATGGATTGATTTGCAACATGGGTGTCTAAGGGCTAGTAGCAAACATATATTTTAAAAGACCCTCCATCGACGAACCATTGCCTATCTCATATTTATACTATTCATTCTCAACAAAACCTTGTGTGTGCATTGACATAAAGCGCTTGGATTTACTTCCATTTTACTTTAGTTTCTAGCAAAAGAAAAGACCCAAGTATCGAAGGTTTAGTTAGTATTCCCACTCTATGTACAATTAAACTATATATTCTTATAATCTTTAGTATATGAAACCCTTAACCACCATCGGAGAACTGGTGCATTGATTTTGAAGGCAGTGTGCAAATAAAAATTGGTCCCTAAATGCATTTTTTTAGTAGAGGAGAAAAAATTAAAAAAGAGAGGATGAAACAAGCAAGGCCGAAACTATGGTGTATCATGGTGGGTCCTAGGACCCACCTAATTTTTAAATTTTATTTACCATATATGTATATAAAAAAATTATGACCCACCTTGAAAAAAAATTAGGACCTACCTTTTAGTATTTAGACAAATAAGATACAAATAAATATAAGAAATGATGGAATGTTTTACTTAAATTTGCAAAGAATATGGTTAATTAATTTTTTATCAAAACCTATTCCAAATTGGACACAAAGATAAAAAGTGGTAGTTATTTGATATTATAATTCGGATATCTCTACTCAAACTAGTAAAAATACATTATTGGCTGTAATAATATGTAGTTGCAAGAAGACTTTCTAAAATGAAAAGAAACTCATTTGTACTATATATATATATATATATATATATATATATATATATATATATATATATATATATAAAATCTTAAAAAATCATAAAAAATCTTAAAAAAAATCCTAAAAATCATAAAAGTGCATAAAAAAATACTTATAGATCACAAAACTTTTTTTTTGAGTTTTTTATGAAAAAATCGCTACTTTTACTATAGATTCGCTGAAACAAATTTGGAAAAAAAAAACCAATTTTTTTTTTTTTTTATAAAAAAATTGATTTTTTTCAGCGGTTTTGATAAAAAAGTAGCGATTTTGACATAAAAAAATTAAAAAAAAAGTTATGTGACTTCTAAGTATTTTTTTTTATGTATTTTTATGATTTTTATGATTTTTTAGGGTTTTTTTTAAGTTTTCCAAATAACCCTTATATATATATATATATATATATATATATATATATATATATATATATATATATATATATATATATTGTAAAAGTCCGATTTTAGGGGTCGAGTAGGCCACTTTGTACTGGTTTTTAAGGTGTTCGAACGGTGCCGCTTTTTACTGAACCCACCCTGCCCTGCTATAAATATTTTTGTCATTTCGCTTTACTTATATTAAGAATCACCTGCTTTTCTATTCTAGATTCGTCACTGGAAACAAGAATCAAACCTGCATGGATTAAATCGAAAGGAAGCTCCCAAGACATTCTAGCTACACTACTTTTATGGACTAAATAAAACACAACTTGCATATATATGAAGATTAATAAGTAAATCATTCGAATTTCAGGCCCTAACCTATGCGGTCGCACACACTGACCACTAACCACAGTTAATTATACGTTATAAATAATTGAAATGGTAAAATGTCTGAGTTTTATAGTTGACAAGGAAAGTGAACTGAAGAGTTGTTTCACAACTTGTGAGACTAACATTTACCAAGGTACATTTTCTCAACTAAAAGTGTGGATATTTGACAAATAGGCATCTATATGTTGATATCAGCTTGATATGAAGATGTGCTGGTGGGATTGTTTTGCAATCTCACATAAATTAGCTGTGTAGTGTCCCAAATATGTAAGATTTATCTTGATGTCTATCAGAAAGTTCAAAGTTTTATTTGTTTATGTTGCATGCTGAAAATGAACTTCATGATATACTGGTCCAAATATTACTACAAAGTGATTGAAAACATAAAGCTGTCAAGTGAACTGATTTACAGAAAAAACTTAGACAACATGTAATATATATGTACATTTGGCTTATAGGCATATGCTTTCTATCTAGCATACAATAGTGTTATCATGTAATCTTGGAGTGATGAAACTGATTCATCTTCACGGTGACCTTCTTCCAAGAAAAAAGCTGGTTGTTTAGGTAGAGGCAGTTCACCATCACTAATCAGCATCAATACAACTGATAACATAGTTGGCCTGTCCGCTGCATGATGTTGCACACACAATAATGCGACATGTATTGATCGTAGTACTTCAGAGACAACACATGATTTTTGTAAAGATGGACTCATAAGTTCAATGGACTTGTTTTCTTTATAGAGTCTATATGCCTGAATGACACCAAACTTCATATGAGTATTCTGAAGTTGATGTTAAAGACAACACTAGTTTCTAGTCCAGATAGTAGGCATTAGTCTACCAACTTAACTTACATGTCCAAGAAGGTTTTCACTATGAGCTTCATGAGAGAACCCTCGGTTTTTCTTCCCACTCACGATCTCTAGAACAATTACACCAAAGCTAAATACATCCGACTTTATCGAGAAACGCCCATGTACTGCATACTCGGGAGGAATGTAACCACTGCAGCCAAGTTCAATGAGCAAACACATATTAGAAACAATGTTTCTTGTTTGTTTGTATTTTCCTCCTTTCTTGTGAAAGGCATGTTAACATTAATAAAGTTCACAATGTTTTATAGATTCTTACTATGTTCCAACCACCTTCTTTGTCACGTCGATGGCATCATTTCCATCAAACTTCCGAGCAAGACCAAAATCAGATATTTTTGGATTCATTTCCAGATCCAGTAAGATATTACCTGGCTTGAGATCCCTATGGATGATTTGGAGGCGAGAATCTTGATGTAAATAAAGAATACCTCGAGCCAGACCATGGATAATGTTTAAGCGCTGAGGCCAGTTAAGCATGGAAGTTATGGTGTCATCTGTCCGATATATGAAAATTTGCCAACATAATTTAACATCAATTTTAAAAAAGAGTGAGAAGGTGAAGCACTAGTTAGCTAGAGAAAGTCAAACCAAATATAAATGAGTCCAAGCTTTTGTTTTCCAAGTATTCATAAACCAGAATCTTCTCATTTCCATGAATGCAGTATCCAAGGAGTTTCACAAGATTCCGGTGCTGAAGTTGGGCACTACAAATGACTTCATTCCTGAACTCATCAAGCCCTTGGTTGGATGTTTCTGAGAGCCGCTTTATAGCTATTTCTTGTCCGTCTTCCAACACACCCTAAAAGATAAATATCAAAGCTTATGATCATAAATATATTCACGTAAAGTCATATGTTTTTCATGATATGCTGACAAATATTGCATATTTAATTGTTACCCTATAAACTGGACCATAGCCACCTTCTCCAATCTTATTATCAATGCTGAAGTTATCTGTAGCCTTAGATATGTTATGCAGGCTAAGAAAAGGTAGCTCATCAAGGTCTTCTATCTGAACACTGGTGTGATCCCTATCAAGGATATGCGCCCAGTAGTTTCCTACAAGATGATATGTTCATTGTCAATTTCTCTTGATTACATTAACCTTTCAAAACTCATACTCAGAAAGTTGTATAGTTAATGCTTCTTGTTAATGCTTCATTTCAGAAAACATAAGAAAAGACTTGTCGTGTTACCTCGTCCATTCCTGTGAAGCCTTTTCTTCGTCTTTCTACAAGCATATGCCACCGTAGATAGAAGCACTGCAACTGAAAAAACTGACAGCACCAGAGTGAGTACTCTGTTCTTCTGGTTGAAGCCGGATTTGCTCTCTGCTAATGATACAATAGTGAATGATGTTTCAATTAAAACATAATGGTTAAAGTATCAAAAACTAAATGCATACAAACCAAGATAATGGTTGTAAGCTTTTGTTCCTAACTCGATATGATTGGTTGTTACACAAATCTTGCAAATAATCTTTCAATGTACCTTTGCGAAATGACATGGTATGAGTATGACCACAATTTGCCGATATTGAAAGCCTAGTTGCGAAGTTCATCACTCGTTTGTTGACTTATATTATATTGTTACATTATATATATATATATATATATATATATATATATATATATATATATATATATATATATATATATATATATATATATTTATTGGTACATTATTTTATTAATTTAATTTTTAATTTATGTAAATATTTATTTATTCAAAATAACTTAACTATTTATTAATTTATATATCCATAGTATACATTTGTAAATTTAAGGATTTATAAATAAACTCACTTTAATGATTATACATAAAAAATAATTATAATTATGTTGATATTTAAGATATTAGACTAATGATTTATACATAAATTTTATTAATATTTATATTAAAAACCTTTATTATAAGTTTTTGTAATATTAGTAATAAATAATTACTCTTTTAGTGTTTGAATATAATATATTTTTTAAAATTCTATTATTAGATTATATTTTGTTCAGATTAAATAATAAATTAATGTGCTGATTAAATAAGTATTTTAATTTTTCAAATAGCTAAAAGTATGTGTAAAATAGTTTATGATGTATCAATGGAATCACTTTTGGAATTTCTTTTTGACATTAACATCTCGTTCCCGAGTTCAACTTAACAAGGGAAAAGAAAGAAAATTTATGGAAGTGAAAAGAAAGTAAAATAAACTGGTGTTCTTGAATTTCATTAAATTAATAATATGGAAGGAATTGGAAAGAAATTGAATGATCACTTTTAATACTAACTTTCCTTCCGATTTGGAAGGATTTGGAGAGAAAGAATAAAATATTAAATTTTACTTTCACTTATCTCCAATTCAAGAACACAAATGACAACCGAATTACAGAGAAGATTGGGACTTATACACCAATTGCTTGAATTTAAATTCTAAGCCTTCTCAGCTCGACTCCTAATATAGTAAAAAGATAAAAGTTGCATCTCACTAAATAAAATTTACTGCTTTTCACTTTGTCATTGAAGATCTTATCATTCCTACACCAATACAAGCAATACCGATCTTCTTTTTAGGCATGTCTTAAGCCTCGATAACACCGGTCAGAGGAATTAGTGTTTGTCTACTTCATATTTTGTTTGACAATTTGAGCGTAACATCGATATGAGATTGATCCTTCTTCTAAGGAAATTGAATCTAGTAGTTAGACGCCCCACTTGTGCTATCCAAAATAGGAGATTGGCCTTACCCGAACTGCTTTTAATCTAATAGGTAGACAACTTGTTATGCTCAAGTGTCTTGTTGTCAATTAACTTATGAGTGGAAGAAATGGTGAACTCACCGTCATCTTCTAAATCCTATTGCTCTCCAAATTCATGTTGTTGATAATACCCTAAGTGTTAAGAATTAAGCACTTCGATAAACCAATAAGTGGGATCACACAAGAAAAATAGATATGCGAAAAAATAAAGTACACAATTTAACGTGGTTCATTCGCATAAAGAAATTTAGCTACGAATATGCACAAACTAGAGATATTTTTAATTAAAAAAATTCATCACACACACTTTCTACGTTGGTACATTAGGGTTACATTCATATAACAAAACTATATTTATAGAAACAAAATGACGTCGATTGTTTGTCCCATTGCTCGAGCACCAAAACTATGGTATACTAGACACCACAACCTTCCTCATTGAGCTCCACAATTGCAGAATGTTGGATACTGATCTGCCATATAGTAGATTCTACATGCTTACCCTGAAACCGTACTTTACAAGATTACCTTGCAATCTTACTCCTATGGGTGTCAATCATGTTGTGTTCGGGTTGGCAGGTCATAAAAGCTCAACTCGGGCATGACCCATATAAATATTTGTCTCACCTTGCTCAACCCTAACTCAGATTAGTCATTAGCAGATCAACCCATATAACCCATTTAATTATACATGTTCGCAGGTTCGTGAGTCACGTTCGAATTCATGGGTCAAATTTGGGTTCAAGAATCACATTCAGGTTCGTGGGTCAAAATCGAGTTCGTAGGTCATGTAAAAAAGTCTAAATATCACAAATTTACTTATTAGTCGTTACTCTCTCATTTATTTAGTAAATGAGTCACAAAACTTCAATCCAGCCTCATTTATCTTTGTGTTGGTTTCCTGTCGTATCACGGTTCATTTCGAGAATTGACACCCCTACTGTCTCCTTGCAACACCTCTACAGACACCATGCAATCATTTTACAACCACCTTAAAGTCGCAGATTTTGATGCCGAAGCTGATATATAAACTACCACAATTGGTATCTCATGCTTGGTATATATGTATGTATAGACGCATTCATACTAACTTTTATTTAACAAAACCTACTATCACAAATCATCTCCAATCATAAATCTTGTTTTAAGTTAATAAAATTTTCTTCCTATGCACAAAATGTTTTATAATATACGCTTATGATCGATTAACATTTAATTGACAACTTCTTCTTAATAATATATATTTTTATTATTCTGCTATAACTTTTATATATATATATATATATATATATATATATATATATATATATATATATATATATATATATATTATTCTAATATATTTTAATATGAATATTAAAATATGGGTATTCATATATTTATTTGTAATAATTTCTAGTGTGAATATTAGCACATGATTATTCATATATGCATTGTTGAATAATGATATAAATCAAATAATATATGTAAGCTTGGTAACAGAATAATAACATAAAAATAGTGTGTTGCCGTCTTCATTTTATTTAGCGTTTTCATTTGAAGCTATTTCACTATATTTAGTGTTTTATTTTGTATATTTAATAAAATAGATTAACCAGTTAAAGAATAACAAAGATTTAAGATATAATATGGTTAGTGTGTATAATTAAATGTTATTAATAAATATCTGAGAAAAACATTAAAAAAAACAATAAGCACTTTTGATATTCATAAGTGGTTGAAATTTGTTTTTAAGAACAACATCAAGTTTTCAATGATTTATACAAATGATAGAAAAGCTACACAATAACAAAACGTTACATTGGAGATGTTATTAATTATATAGATAGATAAAAATGTGTACCTGTTAACCGATAAACCAACTGATGAGAGGTTGCTATTCTTACGTAAAGTTGTTGATGGTCATCATACTCTCTGGTGTCCATCAACTCATCAAACCATAGCAAACATCCACTCCCCCCGTTTCTGATATCTAAATCTGCATAAGCTGTACATGAGCAATTCTTTATGCAGGTCATCTCACATTCTGCAAGGGACATGCTTATATTGTACGATGATCTTCGTGTGTCTGGGAATTTCACTCCTGAAATTTTCTGGAAGCCATCATGCGGAGTCCCACAATCCAAAGGCTTTTTACGTTGACACCCACTCGACCAGTCTCCTTCATTCCATTCTTTTGGAACTCTTGGTTCAAAACCGTTCATACAACTGCAAGGAGGATTTCCTTTGGGTTGGCAGATCCCATAAGGACCACAGGGTCCATAACGACTACAGTTATCAAGTACTATGTTTCTATACATGACCCATTCTTGGGTTCGCTCAATCCAATTCAACTGCAGTATGATGCCATCCCACATCAATATTATTCTTTGAACAACTGAACTCTTAAGTTTGTATCTATAATAAACTTCCATCTCGTTGACAACAAACTCTACGGAGTAAATTGGATTAGTGTTTTCCGTAGGAAACCCGCTAAACCCAAGACCATTCCATGGTCCGTGCCTTGCGTGTTTATCCCGACCTTTTTCTTCAAATAGCTGTGGATACCCATTTGTGTCTAAATAGTGTTTATAAAGACCTGTAGAAGGATCATCAAGGCTTTTCCAAGATGTTAAATACCTCTCTCTTCCTGTTACCAAATCTTTCCCGAATTTCATTCCTGGTAGCAGTGTGTTACCAGGATAGTCAAAACTTTCCCAGATCGGATTTTCTTTGCTGCTACTT